ACTTCATCTCTCTGGCCACAGAATGAGTCCCCCCACAGGCGCTAAAATCGGTCGTCCAGACAAGTTGGGTCCGGCACAGCGTTCACACTGCGATAGTCGGCAACGCTTCTATAATGCGCTGCGCAGGAGTAATGCATCCCAGAAACAGATGGGCATCTTTTACGATGACGAAGTTGTGTACTTCTTCGCGGTGTTTGGATGGGACGATCCATTGCGCTGCGCTCCTTTGACACACTCCGAACCTACTACGGAAGCAATCGAGGCCCGCAGGAGTGAGGCAAACGTGGCGAGGGAGGTATTGATGGCGGGGACCAATGTGGACGAGGCGCACAAGAACCGAGACCACTTAGTCAAGCACGTTCGTACAGTACGTCTCCGCTACATCGAGATATATACATTTATTAAGTTCCCTTCCTCCCGCACAGCTAATGTCTGCGCGCTTTCAATCAAACTACGATGGTCCCAAGAAGACAACGGCCCCAACCACTAAGCTCCCAGCTACCCCCGACAGGACATCCAGCGAAGGCATTCAGAAGCTACTCATGGCATTCCTAACGAAACCGTCGATGCCGCAGCTATGTAAAGCGTGGGCTAAGTCTCAATCTGGCTTCGAAGCAGAGGTAGATCGGCGCCTAGCTGAGGTGAGGCTGGAAAGAGGGGATCCCAATTACGCTCGAATAGGGCTTTGGAACACCATGGCCTCGGAAGGCTATGCCGCGGCCAGCAACGAGCTCAAGACCATGGCACTGGAGAAGGCAAAGGAGGAGTTAGATGGCCGGTTGGCGGAACGGAACGAACTTCTCGCGGAACCGAAGTCTATGGAGGAAGCGCTGAAGTAAGTCTGGCACCTACCCGGATTTGATTGATCCCAGACGTTTGGCGTTTATGGTGCTCATAGGTTTATGGTGGCGTCTCAAACGTTTCTCAAGGACCTAATGCAATTTTTCGCCGATCGGTGCGGAGGCATGGCGGTGATGATACTGGCTGGATCGGGGCAAGTTCTTGTGTATGCACCATTGACTAAGATGGTCTACTTATACTAATACAGCCCTATAGATCTCAAGGAACTTGTGACATTGCGGGAAAGCCAAAAGTACTCTATACGGATGTCGAAGGAGAAGCGGCCTTACTGGAGGGGTTGGCAGGACGTATCCATCAGCAGGCCTGTCTTGTCACGGGTAAGCTGATGGTCTACTTGAATGTCTCACTAATGAACGGCCCTCATACAATATTCAGAGTCAAAATGGGGTATACGCCTGTCAAATCATACCGCGCCTGTCAAGGTCGTAGGCCAAGGTCTAAGAGAGGCTGAATGCGCAATGCCGGGAAGTAAGGAAGACTTTGCAGTCTCCCTGCCACCTGACAGTTTGGCGCCGGCGAACCATACCGGTAGCGACTGGATGAGAGACGAAGGCGGTTTCGACGATCAGGTCTTGAACCTAGCTAGGATGCGGATAGATGTAAGCTTCGCCTGCCGTCTCAGCCTATGTATGAGAGCTAAGAATCTGACAGACCGACGATTGCCACGAAACCTCAGAGTTGGGATCAAACAACGAGGTCATCATAAGCCCACACTTTACACCCTACGATACAACCTCGGAAACGCCTTCTGGGAAGCACGACAACACCTCTCTCCAGCGGGACCCTGTCGGTGGCAGTTCTACAATGTCATCGGCGGTCTGCGGCTTACCGTCGCAGACGGAGGAAAGACACCTCCCTCATTTCAAGGTTTCCCAGGTAGTCGGTGCTCAAGCGTGTCCACCAGAAGTGATGCAGTGTGGATCAAAGGGCGAGAGACACGAAACACAGCAAACATTGATCAGCGACATGATCCAAGGGCACGGGCCTAACGACGTCAGCAATGAAGAACAAGAGCACGGTGAAGCTGATACTGGGTCACATGACGGCTTGCCTGTGCAGGAGTCAAGTCTAAGCCTCTGCCAGCGTGACTCTCGTCTATCATCAACTCAGACCGAACAGGTCATCGACAACATCGTCGTCAGTGAACCCCGAGCACCCCCCCTTGCTCTAGAGCCTCGGGCTTGCATACAGCCATCTCCTTCGCACATCGCGGTGAGTCCGGTTCAGGCGAAGCAATGCAGTGTTCTCATTTTCTGTATGAAGGAATACGAACGAAGGTTTGCGGCGGACGGAGCGCGGCTCGAAGAAAGGAAACCCTGGTGGGGAGGGTATGGGATGACCAAGTTTCTGCTCTCTGTCCCGACGAAGCTACGAGGACGGGTCGATGTGACAATCGCGTGTAGGGCGGTGCGTGCGTACATGGAATTGGAGTTAAGTAATGCGGTAAGGACATCTATAACATTTGTGAACCATTATGATTGACTACGATGATAGGCCGAGGGTATGATCAGTCTGGTCTGTGAGGCTGAAGACGACGAGGCCCGGCCGGCGTATACAGTCTGGCTTCGAGATAAGCCCAGCGTCACTAGAACTGGATGGCACGGAAGAGCCGTACCAGGCACGGTGCGTAAACCAGCGTCGCTGGACAGCGAAATTGGTTCAATGTTGGCGAATCAATGGACCCACCAGCAGCCCTCTTCACGCCGCGATCACCATGGCGCCTTGGAGCACGCTGCTGACATGAGCATGGACTGGGGAAATCGCCTTCCAACAGGCCCAGGGGGAGTCAGGTTACTGTTTGTAACATTGCTCTGCTGGGGAGCCTCCTTCGATTGCGCTTTAGATGGCGATAGTGAAGTGTGGAACTTGTTGGCTCAGGACTTCGCCAACGTTTTCGATATCCTGGCCGTAAAGAGTGGTCAATATCAGCCAGCTCGAGCCACGGAAAGCAATGTAGATGATGGTACGAAGAAGCGCACAAAGTACGTCTTACTTTGAGGTCCAGCAACACTGGCTGATGGGGTTTAGGAAATTGACGGAGAAGGCTGCACTCATCCAACTGGAGAACGCGAATAAGAAGGGAGCGAAGATGGGATGAGTGAGTACACACCTCAGGGTGATGCTTTTGGAATGAGCACGTTATATAGGTACCATCGCTCGGGAAGCGTAAGCTTGGCTATACGTCAGTAGAGAGTTCCGCAACATTGAATACATGGGTCGGTGTCCTTGGAACTTCTGCATACGATTACTTGGGAAAGTATCCTACTCTACCAGGCCTGACTAAACGAGAGAGATGCGAGAACGAAGTCCGCGGGACCCTTGTAGCATTCATTCCGCAACAAGCACGACTTTCTGGGATGGTTACGCAGGCGCTGACGGCCGCGAGCAGCGACATCACACGCTGAAAGCGATGACACGGCGCTGAGTGTTCAATGGACTGTGCCCATCAACCATCGTGGGGATTGCGGACACCAGCTTCGCATCGCAAGAGCTTTATGGTCTAGCGTACGTCTAGCGCCGAAGACTTGAGGCGGTATGAACGCATCAACTTGCACGATTGAATTGGATTTAGGACGCGGCTTTAATTTAGCCATTCGCGGCGAGCCCGCCTTCCTCAGGCCTTCCTCCTCCCTCTCGCCTGTCCCGCCCATCTTCTCTTCAGCCACACCGTATACTGTAAGCGCCAGGCCGCTCAACGAAGCCCGTCAAGACGCAGCAGGGAGGGGGAAGAGGGAGGAGAAGCGGCGTTCGCGACAAGGGCGGAAAGAGCCGCGTAGCGGCTGACGCGGCCACATGTTTTGCCGTGTGTGCCACAGAGTGCTTCGTGCCCGCCCGTCCTTCCCGTTGACCCGCAAATATCCGGTACTGGGCAGTCGCGTGGAAGTACGTATGCCTGACCTCGGTGAACCTACACGCGCACCTGGGCATCATCCAGTGAAAGCATAAGCCATGTACTGTCTTAGGGGGCTTCGGAGTGAGATAAAAGAGTATTTAAGTCATGTCCCGGTAGCTAGATATGAAATGGGGACTTTGCTTACTTAGCGCGTAGCTACAAGCGCTACTAAGTAGTCCAGAGGCAGAGACTCGGAATCACGACGCGTCGCGCTGGTAGCACACGCGACAAAGCACGTGGCCGCGTCAGCCGCTACGCGGCTCTTTCCGCCCTTGTCGCCAACGCCGCTCCTCCTCCCTCTTCGCCCTCCCTGCTGCGTCTTGACGGGCTTCGTTGAGCAGCCTAGCGCTTACAGTACACGGTGTGGCTGAAGAGAAGATGGGCGGGAGAGGCGAGAGGGAGGGGGAAGGCCTGAGGAAGGCGGGCTCGCCGCGAATGGCGAAATTAAAGCCGCGTCCTAAATCTAATTCAATTGTTTACGCGTTCGTACCGACTCGAGACGTGCGATGGCTTCTACATGGAACTGCTCTTGGACTCACTTCTATCACTACTATGTGCCAATGGACACTCATTCATCTCTGTGTAACTGATTCGCCCTGTTCATTCGAATACATGAATCTCTTCCGCCGGGTCAATCATTGTTGTGATATTCATATTCGAGGTTAGTCTGGTGACCGACTACAAGAAGAGTGACGGAGGCAAGCTCGAGTACTCTTCGTTGTAGTCTGGTTCAAACCGTTTGGGAATGGCAGGGCCGTCGCAATGACGTCGGGCGTCGCGAGCCTTTACCGCTTTGGGACACGTAAGAACACGTGAGATTGGGAGGACGCGTCGACGCGTCGGGGGTCGGGTGTCGCGCACCGTCGCGTCTTGCGTTTGCGTCTTACGTCCCGCCTTGACAATGTCCGGGACCCTTATACCATGCAACGGCCATACACACATCCTTGAGCAATCATGAACTTCCCGTCTCTCCAGCCCTCCTGCTACCATTGCAACACGCGAGTAATGAACCGATCCCTGAACCAACTGAAATATATCGGATCCCTCTCTCGACGCACATCCGTACCCGAACGGATCTCCAGTAGACCAAAAGTCGGCGCTCGACCCAAAACAACAATACTACGGCCCTCCGCCCTCGCGCGGCTGATGTCGGGCGGAGAAGGGTCCCACGATCCCGTGGTTTTAGAGATCCCAAAGCGGTATAGCTCACCGCGCGCGACGTCATTGCGACGCGCCCGCCATTCCCAAACGAGTTGGACCAGACTAATTCGAGGTACAGAAGGAGGTTTGAATGCCATTGTACGTGAGTAGTGTTAGTAGATGCACTTATACAAGTGCTCGCGTGTCTCGACGCGTCTCTGCATTCAACCCCCATGCCAGGTCCCAACACCGTTTTGACCTCCGAACATCGCTTCCACCGCTAGTACTGCTATATGACCCCTGCGATTACCGTGACTGCTATCGCAGATCCAGACTCCCGCTTGTGTACTTCAAGAGACGCGTCGGATCCTTTGTGTCTCGAGCCCTACTGGCGTACTCGTTCTGCTGCACCCGCACCGCACCACTCTCCCAGCGCAACATTACTAGCAGGACAAATGATCTGGAACATCACTTCGGCCTCCACACCAGCCCGTCGTGAACAACATGCCCACTCGCCCGATGCACTAACGCGCCGATCCCTTTCGTCGAAAGCCGGCACAACCTGCGAGTGAACTTCACCGGCGCCACCAATGAGTGATACATCTTCAAGGGCGTCTCCATCATGAGCCACTTGTCGTCCTCTCTCAAGACCAGACTGCAGGCGCATATCTCCCTCTGTTCCGAGAATTATGACCTCACCTCCTCTCTGCTCGACATGCCGACGTCAAGTTGAGCACGTTCTTGTCCGTCTGTCGTTGTATAAGGCCGCACTGACGAGCCTGATAGCGAACGTCAAGGAGAGTAGACTTGTCGCGCGCAAAGGCCAGTCTCGCGAGGTTTCTTCACCGCGCTCTCGAGTAGGACCAATAGGATGATTTGATACTGAGGCGGAGGAGGGTACAAGCATCACGCGCCATTGGGAAGTATAGGCAGAGAGAGAAAAGA